GAAATGAACTAGAAAACAACATTGGTCCCTAATTTAAGTTTCTAACCCATAATCTAAGATTACTCAAAATGCAGAAATTTTTCAAATAAACATTAGAAACAGTTGCTGAAGTTTAAGGGAAATGTCATTCCATTAACGTTATCTAAATAAGAAAAATGAATCAGCACAAGGAAGCCGGAACAGAGCCGTACTGTACTTCGGTATTACAGTGCCACCCACTGGTTAGAAGTCCTCATAGCAAATATAAGACCCAACAATAAAAAAGATATATTATTGGAATAGAAGGAAAATAACACTGACTATTTTGATTCAATAGCTCAAAATGCAGAAATTTTTCAAATAAACATTAGAAACAGTTGCTGAAGTTTAAGGGAAATGTCATTCCATTAACGTTATCTAAATACGAAAAATGAATCAGCACAAGGAAGCCGGAACAGAGCCGTACTGTACTTCGGTATTACAGCGCCACCCACTGGTTAGAAGTCCTCATAGCAAATATAAGACCCGACAATAAAAAAGATATATTATTGGAATAGAAGGAAAATAACACTGACTATTTTGATTCAATAATCAGGAACTTCTAACAAAACAGAACAACCCATATTATTTAATTTTCACAAGGAAAAAAAATAGCTGCTAGATATGTCCACAAGGGTGAGTTTTACCAATTTTGAAATGCAAGTCTACAATCTCCAAATGCTATAAAGACTTAAATCAAATATATAAAATGCCATTTCGGCTTTGTAGTTGAATATATAAAGAGTCTTTAAGCACAAGGTGCATACTTGCTAAGAAAGAAGTTATAATATTCATAATATATTTAAATGTTAATAAAATCTACAATAGTGTCAGCTCCACTTCCACATTTACCAGAGAAGTAACAAAATACACAGAACATAGATCATGTCAGAAAATAGTAAAAATAAATGTTTTCTTTAAAGTACCACAGCACCTTTGTTGTCCAAAGTATATTTACCTTAACACAATCTCCTTTTTATCCTGATGACATTTGTTGTTTCTCCAAATCATCTTTGTTTATTTTCTTAAATGCTAACATTCTTAAAATCTTGGCATGAAATATTTGAAGAGTCATTTCTACACAAGTACAACCTTCCCTTTAAGACTCAAAATCACACACAAGGGATTGATGTCAGTTTATGGTCTATACGACCCTCTTGAATGTTGATCTCTAAAGACTAGACATCAGGATTCCTCTATGAAATGATCCTGGTCTTCCAAATTACAATTCACAAATATGCTCCAGGGAGTCAGTACAGGCTTCGAGTTTCTTTGGTTTGATGGTAATTATCACCTGGCCTGCAAAATCCAAGGTCTTTGCTTGCTCATAGGTGGTTGATTGCAGATAAAAATATGATGAGAAAAGTCACATTCCCACAGACATAAATCACCAACACTGCCTTTTTAAAAGCATGACCCTGAAAGAAAAATTGAGATATGAAAGAAAGTACTACCATTAAAGTTGTGTCAATAAACAAGAAAAGGACTTACCTCTGCTTCAGCTGCAGTAAATGACTGAAGGATCTGAATTCTAACATCATCCAATATTTCCTCTGTCGAGAACAACAAAAATTTACAAGGACAGTGTTATGCAGGTAAATTTGTAGTGTTCACCAATTTCCAGGGTATAAATTCTCCTATTTCAAGATACTAAATGTTGCAAACTTCCTGAATATTTAAGCCTCTCACAAATTGTGACAAGCTGGCTACAGCACACACTTGTCAAAGGACTTAAAATATACCCTCTTCTTCTAGTCAATAACACCACATCGAAGTCCTAACAATCTAAGTTGTTTGCTTTTTTAAATTTTATTTTTTTAACTCACAAATAAAATTGTATATATTTATGGTGTACCGCACAATGTTCTGATATATGTATATATCGTGGAAAGGCTAAATCAATCTAATTAATGTGATAATGATCAAAGTTTTACTCCATATGTATTTTAAACAGTAGGCCATAATTCAGTGGTCATCAAAAGCCGCATGTATGTAACCTTATCAAGAACCAAAAGTGGCAGGCAGGACTACTCAGCTCCTAAAAGCCTCCCAGGCTCATAGGTTCACAACATATAAACTAAAGAACAAAGAGTTTTTGTCTGTAGAAGGCCAACCTCACTTATTTTGGGGGCTGAAAACTAGATAAGACACAGAGGACTCTTCGCCTGGTTATATATTTCTGTACATGGCAACCCGACCTTGTCACAGTAAGTCTGTCAAGTCGGCAAGTTGTCTACAGTTCTGCCCCGTGTCGACTTTGAGTGTCTTCTTCCTCCAACACAGGCACAGTTCCCTAATTCCAGGCACTCAGAATTCCTAGTGTGTACCGGCTCCAAATCAGACCAGCACACAAAGAAAAAGTACTTAAAAAGAAGACTTCTCTGAAAACTAAAATCTTTCCTTTATATTTTATTCACAAATTCTAATACTAATGAATGTAAAAAAACAAAGACAGAAAATGTCCACAGTTTCTACCACTGGCTGAGTAATCACAACAGAAATTTTTAATGAGCCACCATGTAATAGTCAACCATTAGTATCAGGAAATTATTTATATTCCAATAGTTTGTGTAAAAGTGATTCGACATAACATGGCTGTTTGAGCAGGTTACCTTTTCGAGAGAGTCGATAAGCATGTATCTCCAGAACAATCTCGGTCCCGACATGCCAGGCTACAAACCCAATCATTGCATAGGTTTTCCATGGATCAGGAAGATTCAGTCCTGGTAAATCCATTCCCAGGAAGATTGCTGCCACTAAGCGTAAAAGAGAAAAAATTATATTCAGATGTACTCCCCCCCAAGAGAGAGAACTGTGTGTATGTACATGTGTGTGAATTACATCCAGTAAAACATGCTAAAGGAGTTTATGAGATGAGTGAGATTAATGTTTAAGACCAAACAGTTAATTTAGTCTCTTTTTTATTGTAAGGCCAAATGGTGCAAGATGGGAAATTATAATTCTGATCTACCATTGTTAAAAAAGAGGCACCCAAACTTTCTAGAAAGTTTTAAGTCTGCAATGTAGGAAGGGAGAAAAGTATGGAAACCTTGCTGATTGTCCTCCCTCTTCCACAGACTACAGAATCCCACAGACTGTAGAAATGTTAGGGGAGGAGTTACCTGCTTACGTATTTATTATAGAATGCGTCACAATGTACTGGATAATCATACTCGACTTTTGAAAACCACGCTACCCTGGCAGCACCATGGAGAGGACCTGGAGGTGGAGGGCTCGGACCCAACAGACCACTCAACCCCACTCACAAATGACCCTCACCTTGAACTGCTCAAATGTTTGATCATCAGCATAGCATATGCTGCCAGCAAAGGCAAAAGCAAAAAAAAGTCTTAAAAAGGAGAGTTTTAAAGTCATTCGTAAATCCTTAAACTTAAAACTGACAGAGTGACTAAGCAGTTACCTCTAGAAATTACTTTCTGGATTTTAATGTTTAAGGCTGATTTCTCCTTAACAACCAATTACCCCAATTACTAATGCATCTAAAAATCATTTAAGCCAAATTACAACTTGCAATATAAACAACCAGCAATTATATATGCATAAGTGGCATCACAATTACTCACCTGCTATTATTCTAGCAGCTGTTCCCATACTCCAGTGAGTCCAGTTAAACATTTGCCTTCTACCAAAATAAAGAACCAGACAGTATTCTTAAAAGTGATGGAACTACAATTAGTTCCTAAAAGAATAAAAAGCATGTGATTTCCCCTATTGCCTGAAAGTTAGGTATCTAAAATACATTTTAAAGTCTTTCAAAGTAAATACAATTTATCACTGAATTTTACAAAATGCAAATGTTTCCAGTTGAAAAGGAATTAGTTTGCCAATTAATAATACCCACATGAAGAGCATTTATATATAAAAATTATACCTTGGGTCATGTAAAGGTGGCCTGAAGGCTGCCAGAAGAGTCTGCAGAACTGCTAAAGCCATCACTACACAGCCGAGGTACGGGTGGTAACCTGCACGCTAAACACAGGCATTTCATGATAGTGGTCTCGATCTCTCTCACCAATTTAAATTCTTAACTTAAAAGGAATACACAGATGTATTCTTAGGGTTTTTCCATGGCTTTAAATATTCAATAAAGATATAATAATAATAACAGGCAACATTCACGGAGTATACACTTTGAATCAGGGACATACTTTACACACATTATCACTAATGCTCAAAACAATGCTTGACAGTGGTTATCAATACCCCAGTTTTACAAATGGGGAAACTGAGGTTTATAGAGATCAATTACTGTGTCCAAGGCCACACAGCATGTAAACGGCTGTGGTGAAATCCAGGTATAGAATGAGGCCTCTCCCCCATCAGGATGTTAGATGACCACCAACACCAGGACAGCCATTTGCAGCCCAACTAGGACTAGTTAGTGTCCACATGTTGACAGCAATCATCCCAGAAGTATTATAATGATTTGTTATAAACACAAGTATTATAAATATATTATAATGATTTGGTCTCTCTGTGTTTCCCTAAGCTGTGTGTTCTGCATGATTCTCTGTAACCCTGGAGCTTAACAGAGTCTTGGTTACTCAATAAATTGTTGGTTAAGTAAATAATCTGTATAGCCACTGTATTAAAAGCTTATCTCCTCTGTTCAGAATGAGAATCTAACCCCCCCAAAAAAATCAACCCAGTAACTCGACAGTTTCTGCTACACCCCTTCCTTAGTGATGTTTCATGCCCGCTCAAAATAGCATTGTTGCATTGGAGCAGTTTGTAAAATAACTTCACTTAAACACTTAATGGAAGCACTAAGAAGATGCACTAACCTATGATATGCTTAGAGGGACACAGTCTGTAATCACTGACTCCCATGCTCAGATACATTATAAATCTATGATCTAGAACAGGCATATAGTGGTTTCTAAGCCACGATAGGAAGTTTTTGTAAATAGGAACTAAATGCTGACAAAAGAGCAATATAAAAACACTTTCAAACCATGGACTCAGTTATACATGGATAAAATTATAACCTTGACTGTAGAGATACATAAAGGACCTCTATCTAATTTTAAAAAGAAAACAATAACAGTAGCAACAACAAAATTCTTATATGTGCTTAGAATGTGCTGGGAAGTATCCTAAGTTCTTTCAGTTAATTAATCCCCAATCCTCACAGACAGCCTATGACATAGATACTATACCATCCCCACCTTACAGATGAGTAAACTGAGGGACAGAGAAGTTAAGTAATGTGCCCAAGATGTCCCAGGGAATAAATGATGATGCCAGAACTTGCATCCAAGTAGTCCAGCTGTAGAATAATGCTCTTAACCTTTATACTATCCAATTCATAAACTGCAAAGACTACACACTACAAAATGACAAAATATGTGTTACCCTTGTCCCAACTACCTGAATAAAATAAGGTTCCAATGTCTCAATTCATATCAGAAAGTTTTCATAATTTCTTTTTTAAAAGTTGGTTGATTGATCCATCAATCAACTAAAACGCAGGAGGGTGATTTCCTAGTAATATCTGTAACCCAAGATACATTAATCTTATTCCTTGTGGGTTTTCATAATTTCTTTTTTAAAAGTTGGTTGATTGATCCATCAATCAACTAAAAAGCAGGAGGGTGATTTCCTAGTAATATCTGTAACCCAAGATACATTAATCTTATTCCTTGTGGCACCAGCCCAAACTCTGAAATGTTAAATTTTGATATCAAATTCTGACTGGCTATAAAATTTGAAGAGTGTAATGGAAGCACAGACTCTGAACTTAGGTATGTCACTTATGCCTTAGTCATTTATTTACTGAATGCCTCTTATGTACCAGAATCTATTCTGAGTGTCTGGGGTACACTAGTGAATATACCAGCAAATATTCCAGCTCTCACAGAAGTTACATACCAGTGTAGGAAGGCAAAGATAAAAACATAATAAATAAGTAAATTACAAGAAATGACATAAGGTAGTACTATATATAGCAGGGCAGAACCCTCTGAGAAGTTATGATTTCAGCAAAGACTGGAAGAAGGTGAAGGAGTGAGGGAAGCATGTGCCGGGCAGGAGGAAGAATCTGTGCAAGGACTACACAGCAGGAGCATGCCTGGCACGTTTACAGACAAGCAAGGAGGCCAGAGTGAAATGGATGGCCTAGACCCAGAGGAGGAGGAGGACGTCAGTTCGGAGAATAACTGGGGCCAAATCATGATGTCATTGGAAGGACTTTGGCTTTTACTCTGAGTGAAATTAAAAGACATTAGAGAAATCAGTCTGAGGCACAGGAATGACATGATCTGATTTATATTTCTTAAAAAATCACTGTGCCGTCTTTGTTAAAAATAGACTGTGCTGGAGCAAGGGTTGAAATGGAGAGGCCAGTTGGGTGGCTACCGCAGAAGTCCAGGCAAAAGATTACGGTGACTCAAACCCATGTATTTTACCAGCGATGGTGGTAAAAAGTGTTGGGTTATAGATGTATTTTAAATGTAGAGCCAATAGGATATCCCAACGGATTTGATATGGGATGTGCACAAAAGCACAGTTAAGAATAATTCCTTCTAGTGATGAGCAAGCCTTTAAAAAAAGGAATAATTCCAAGGCTGTAGTCTAAAGATGAAATTCCAACAGCTAACACAGAGATGGCAGCAGGTGGAGAGGACAGGGAGAAAAGATCAGGAATTCTACTTTGGACACGCTAAATTTGAGACGTCATAGACATGCAAATAGAGGTCCTGAGCTTTACATGAGCTAGATGTGTGTGTCTCAAGCCAGGGAGGAGGGCTGGGCTGGAGATAAACATTTGGGAATAAGCCTCAGTTTCTTCATTTATGACAAGGGATTACTATTAATACCTACTTCATTTGAGATTTGAATTTGATAACACCTGTGAAGCTCCTAGCACAGCCAGTCACATAGTAGGACTACTACTTACATTAGCTCAGTGGTAATCATAGTAGTAATTAGAGAAAACTACTTACATTGTTCATGTTCCTCAAACATCACACTTTGAATTTTTACCACTCTACAGTGAGAAAAACTCACTAAAGCTATAGTGTGTATACAACCTTTAATGCAGCCTAAAAATACATTTCATTCCCAAGTCGTCTGCAGTGACATCTTCACCCCACACCTGACCCCCAACCATGTAAAGGAGTCATCAGACGATTCAAAAAGGAAAGAAAGAGGGACACATGTAGAAACATGAATATCTTTTTACCCATCCTTTGAGAATAAAACAGCAATCTTCTTTGATATCTAAAGGAATTTTTATAAAAACATCCTGTTCAACATATAGTTACCCAACTCCAGCCTCCTCTGTATATAAAAGGCAAAACGAAAGCAACGCAGGTGAGGGCAGACGTGGTGAGCATGAGCATCCGGTGCACCTGCAAGGTGAGATGACAAAGCGAGCAGACGGTTAACTCTGAGAGAGAGAGGAGCTGGTGTCACAACGGAAGATCACGGTGAGATTCACTGAAGGCACGCACTCAACTGACACCTAATCACAGTCAGTGGTCGGTAAAAAACCCCTCGGTCTTCCACTGCACTTTAAAGGAAGCCCTTAGCTGCCAATCCTCATCATTCAAACGTACTTGCCAAGACTTCACCCGCACAGAGCAGCAAGAATGAACACTCCACACCCAGAGCACGCTTACTTGCCAAGCTCTTCATTTCCTTCCAAAGATACTTATTAAGCTCTACCACCAAGTACAGTTCTATACCAGGGGCAGTGAGATGGCAGGGAATCAGAAAATACTGTCTCCGGAGGAGCTTAAATATAATTGAGTAGATAAGCAAAAAATATATAAAATGTGTAATTCATTGTACAAATCAAGAGATTAAGAGTGAAAACAGGCACTGTTAATTGATTATGCCAAGATAAGTGTCTAGGCCAAAACTATCCTGGGGAAAGTAGACATACAGTCTCCCTATGTCTATGTATACTTCACTCTCTATATACACACGTACGTGCACACACACCCTATACATCACGTGCACACACACCCTACACACCCTGTATACGTTTATACATACACACACACACACATCATAGTTTTAAAGGCAGTAGAATATACTGACTCTTAGAGAGAAGACATAAAGAGTTTTCCAGTTGGGAATATCCATGTGAGCAGATGAGAGAGTGAGAGAGCACGCACCAGTGAGAGAGCGCGCACAAACGAGAGAGCACACACATATGAGAGAGCACACACATATGAGAGA